ATTTAGGAATGGAGGGAGTACAAATTTAGGGAATGAGATCCAGTGCCTTGCTGTGAGCAAGGCACCGATGAACAGTACGGTGACTGGCCCCCCTTTCCACACCGTCCGAGCCAGAATCAACGGCCAGATCTGCGTGAACAGTGGCAGTTCTACAATGTTCGGTCTACAGTCCCCTGTACAGTGTTCTGCGCTATAGTATTCGATGTGAGCCCCCCCCCCTTGATCCAACGGCTGGCTGACCGCCAGTTAAGCCGTGGGATCTCTGTCCCAAATTTAGTTCCATACTTTCCTCTACGAGCAATGCTACACTCACAGAGGGATCTATTACGGGGTTCACGGACTAGCTGGCGTGGACGATTGGGATTGGATACAAGAGGAGGATGGGCCCCACCCCCATTGAAAATCAGAGGGGCTGATAGATTAGTTAGAAGGAAATTAAGTAAAAGCCCGTAATGGCTTCGTGTGTGTAGGATCATTGTTCCTCTATCAAGTCACAGAAATTTAGTTATTGAGTAGTCCGCCCCGAAAGAGAAAATTCACGTGCCACTCAGGGCGGACCCTAGGCAATTATCAATTCCGCAGCATTTTTGTCCCTTGATTTCTTCTTCTAAGTTTGTACTCACTCTGTTATGAAATATATGATGTTTAAGCAGCTTAAATTGAACTGTTTAAACGTCATATATTCCGTGACAGAGGGAGTAATACATTACAACAAAAACGAAAATTTTATAAATATACTCCGTGGAAGGAGTTCCTACAAGGCTCAAAGATTTTCTCGATGGTGTGGTTGATTGCTGATGCTGCTGCAGAAAAGGCTGACTATTAATTCACGGTCAACCATTGCAGTCATCCGGTGTTGGATGGAGGAGAGGGGGCGGACTACTGGTCGGGTCAGCAAACTTAATTTGAACGCCCACGCGGCTTCTGTGCCGCTGCAGCCACACCGGATTATTTCATCACCTTTGGTGCAACGTGTGAATTACCTATTACAGTATATTTCTACTAGCGTGTTATATCAAAAAGACCAGAAACAATTATGTTTTAAAAAGTTACAATTTGCACTTTTTTGAAATATATCATGAGTTTTTCCTCAAACTAAAAATAGGCTTTTCTTAACTGATTGAAACTTGAGAAAATGTTGACTGGGGCGTAGACGGACGACCGTGGATAACTAACCCGAGCACGCCATCGATGTTGGCCGAGCAAAAGTACGACAAGTATACCCACGCCGAGTTCCACGATGCATGGCCGGCGGCAATAGTGCCATTGTCACACACAAACACAAGAGATAACCGATTGAGAGCGATGGAGCTTGGAGGGAGGAAGATGCTGCATAGTACTGTAGGATCGAGCAGCGCGGGTCAACCGCACGCACGCGCTCGATCAACAAGCAACCGTCACCGTGGCGCGTACGTACGTACGTGCATGTAAAGGCAGCCACGAAGCAACCCTAAAAGGAAAAGTCGATCGTTTGGTTCATCAAACGTACTAGCAGCGAAGCCTTGTTCGGCTAGGCATCGGTCGATCCATGAAGGCAGCGACGACGACGCTTCTCCGGGTCCTCCGCCGCCGCCACGGCCTCCTCCTCGCTCTCGTGCTTCTCGTCGGCGCTGCTTCCGGTGCCGCGGCGCAGCGGACGGTGGACGTGGGGGTGATCCTGGACAGGTCGACATGGGTGGGGAACATGAGCTGGACGTGCATGGAGCTGGCCCTCGACGACTTCTACGCCGACGATAGCCATGCCCGGTACCTCACCAGGCTGAAGCTCCACCTCAGGGACACCGGCCCCAACGCTGTCGACGCCGCTGCCGCAGGTACGTGCGTGCGCGCCGCGCCTCCCTGCTCAACCAGATCGAACATCAACTAAGCTAGCTGCTGCTAGTACCTGGGGAGATTTGGCTAATTAAGCTCATGCCTAGCCTAGGTTTCCCTTGTGTTTCGCCACCATTTGTATGTATTTGTTGCTGTTTTCTCATTGGATCAAAGCAAAAGCACTGTACCTAGCTAGGACCCATGTTTTCTTTAAGTGAGACGTGAGTAGTTTCATATCCCAAAAGATTGGATGCGGTCAACGATTAGACCTATGCTTCGTGCACGCAAATGTTTCTCCATGTTTAGTCCCTTCATCTAGTCTACCGATCTCAATCGAGTCTTGGTTCACTCCCTCAAGTGAAACCATATACCGCTGTTAGAGCATCTAGTACTCCCTGTGTAAAGAAATATAACAGCGTACGTGTAGGTCACTTATATTTTTTTTACAGAGGGAGTAGATTAATAAATCCCGTAAAAATGGTCAAACATTTAAACTGAAAAAGCATCGTATAGATCCTATAAAAAAATTACATGTCCCCATGTATTATTCCCTATATACCTCATATTTGGAGGTTTGCGGGTTATTTTGAAGGGAAACCGTAAATCGGTCAATGCCGGAGCAAGCGGCCTAGCTTGGCTGACACCGTGCGAGTAGCAAGCAGGCGGAGGAGCTCGACAGCTGCCGGCCAAAGCATCGCCGGAGCAAGCGGCCTAGCTTGGCTGACACCGCGCGAGTAGCAAGCAGGTGGAGGAGCTCGACAGCTGCCGGCCAAAGCATCGCCGGAGCAAGCGGCCTAGCACGGGGCCACTGGCGGCATGTGTGTGTGTGTGTGTTACAGCCGGCCAATAGCTGCATGCGTGCGTTTCGGTCGACCAGATTTCGATTTCATCCATGTGTGCTATCCGGGGAACAAGCGTGGGGAGAAAAAGGAGAACAAAAATTAGGGTTTACGTAATTTGTTTCGCCACATACCGTGTGGTGCCATAAATTCATTTTAGAGAAACTTGTATACTATTTTTGCGGGACGCGTTTTCGCTGGGTTGCTCTATTTTTTTCAGTTTTGCTAGAACTCATCTAGATGAGATTTAATTTGGTCTCATTCATTTTTTATAGCCATTGAATGTGGTGCTATAAGATGTGTGTGTGCTGACGTGGGTTGTATCCGTTCTTGTGAATGAGACCAAATTATGTCTTATCTAGATGAGTTCTAGGTACTCCCATTTTTTTTAGGGTTGCTAGAGTTGCTCCGGTGGCTCCCCCTCCCCGCAAGAAAAGGAAACTTCTGACTGCCTTGGTGTTATGGGCTGGATATGGGCCAAATCTTCTGCGTGTGTTCAGTGCTTAGAGATTCACCCCACAATCTGGCCTAGAGAGCTATCCGACCCTTGTCTCTCTCTCTCTCTCTCAAAAAAAAAAAACCCTATCTTACCCGGCGACTGCAAGTCCGGCGGCGGCGCTCGCCTCAGCCGTTGCATTTTTCTAGTATTCTCTCCCCATCCCGCCGGCGGTCCGAGCTCCGCTGCTAGTCTCGCCCGGGGCTCCTGCCTCCTTCTCGTCCTGATTCCACCCCCGGCGGCGCACAGTTACGGTACTCTACTCTTTCTTCTCCCGACCTCCATCTCCAATCGATTTAGAAAGCGCTGTAGCCCTTGAATCCCAATTCGAAGGCCTTCTTGATGTTCCAAATCGTACCCATGCGGTGGATGGCAGACATTGGAGTTCGGCGTTTGAACACTTGCAACATTAGAGCCGTTTAGCCAACCGAGCTCTCTCCAACTTTTGATTATTATTAGTGCGCCGTTAGTGAGGGTAAATCCTGCATTGCGTGTTCTTTTCCACCGCGGATTTGCAACAAATTTATTAATCATGTATTATGAACGAGAGCCACTGCTGTGAAATCTCTTTCTAAGCAATATCAGCACTGCAGGTGTTGATCTACTGAAAAATGTGGGCGTGCAAGTGATCGTTGGGCCGCAGACGTCGACTCAGGCTAAATTTCTTGCGCGGCTCGGGAACAA